AGGGAATAGTAATCTCAAAACAATAAAATACACTCACTTTACTATTTTACAGAAGTTTTACTGTTAAATAGTAACACAGATAACAAACAAGTGCATATTATATTGCATCATATTCCTAGTAACGAAAAGTAAATATATAAATGAATTTTAGGTAGTCAATCTTACCCCTTAAATTTTTTGTGAACATAATTCTTGACTTTTATTATCATAAAAGTAATATCAGATTTTCTGAACTTTCTATGGTTTTATTAATAAACATTTTGCATACTCATTCATATGTTTTAGAAACCATAATAAGATCAAGTTTTTTTTATACAGAGGAAAGTAATGAAATCACGCCCGAAATTTCTTTTCCCCCAACTTTAACAGAATTCCATCGTGCTGGAATGATCTGCAAACCATAAGAAAAATGTGCAAGTGCCGGGAAAATACCAGACTCTCGTGGCTGCAGATAACACAATGTACCAGATATAACTTCTAGGTAGACAAACCGAACTGCAGTCCGGTGAATTTCCATTGCCGCGACGTGAGCAAAAGTACGGATTCCCCGCCCGGCGGAGATTACGACCGTCGGCCAGTTGTTCGTGGACGTGTTAAAATTTTGTTTTCTCTTGGAGTGATTTTTCAAACCTGATGTACTTGCTCGTCGGGGGTGGGGTGGGGGGTTGGAGGTACCAACATAATAAACTTGGCCAACTTCCAGAGCAACAGCAAACCAGCGGGGAAACAGAAGCGCTTTCAATGTCAGCGGTGGAAAACGTGTGCGGCAAATTAAAAAGCAAAAAAACAGCCGCCGATCGATGGATTTTCTTTTAAAAATTAGCACACACCCAAAAGCCGAACCCGTATTTGGGGGGCAGACTAAATATACAAAGTGTTTCAAGGCCGGGTTGAGCGGGAATTTACAGCCAGTAGTCGATTTCTCATCATTTTGCATATCTTTGGCGAATTTATGGCTATTTTTTTGTATATAATTTATTTATATCTATTATTTGTTGCGTGTGCGTAAGCGAGTCGTTGTGCGGCATCATTTGCAAATTAGCTTATGGGCAGGCGTCTCCCCTGGCGTCAAAATCGGCAAGATATTCCGGCACCTTTGGGGCCCCCAAGTTTCAATTCAAATCCACCCACGGCGTTTTACACCACAATTGCACTTCATTTGGCATGGCAAGCCAATAAAACCGTTACACTCCAACTCCCACAAACACGGGGGATACGTATTGAAGTACACTAGAAAAATATCACCCTAGCTGGTAATATCTTAAATAGTTATTATGAAGAAATGCTTAAAGTTGGGACTCACATTTGTCTCTTAATTAATGGATCTCTAATCATTTCATAGGGGCTAATGAACTACCAAATCGTTTTAGTAGGAAAAAACTAATAGTATACATTATACATGCTTAAAGATCAAGTTTGCTTAAACGTATATGGAACCAATCCATCATCATTTAGGAATAGTTTAAATATAAACCTTCAATGCTTATATAAGAAATCTTAAGCGACAAAGTAATAATTTGGTATGCCAATATTAAATTTCTTTTGAAATATACCAATATTACTTTTTTTTATATATTTTTAACCAATCCATCAATATTTATGAATATATAATTTAATAATTTTTTGGAAATAAACCTGTAGACTCGAATTCTGCTCTGTTAATTTAAGAATATGAATTTACATTTTATAAAACAATACAATTTTTTAATAAGTTAATAACCAATCCATCAATTCTTATGAATATATAATTTGGTAATTTTTAGAAACAAACCTTTAGACTCGAATTCTACTCTGTTAATTTAAGAATATTAATTTCCATGCAGAATTAAAAACAAATCTTTAGATAATATATATGCAAATATCGAATATTTGGAATGATTTAATAACCAATCAATCATCGATTATCATTTTATTTTTTTGTGTGCATCGCCTGTAGCCAATACACTTGCAAATGCCGGAATGCGGTAATTTCCCCGCAGCCTCCTACTCCGTCATCTTTTGCCGATTACGTCTTGCCTTTTCACAGTACTTTGACTGATAAACAGCAGCGGTAATAATGAACACACATCTATGGGTATATATATATGCATGTTCCCCGACTTTGAACGGCATCACTAACCTCAGACAAGCGAATCATCAAAAGGGAGAGAAAAGAAGCCGGAAGGCAAAAATGTACCGCAAAGTTGTTCATTTCAATTTCTCATTTTGATTGTGTGCGTTTTTCTGGTCGAATTCAAAATACAGTTCATACTCGCTAAGTGGAAATATAAAGTTGAACACTAAAAATAAAATGTTTCTTAGAAGAAAAAATTTAAAGTGGTTTTATACATAGTTTATTTGAGCTGCTTATGCAAAGTTCAATTTTTATTAAATACCAAGAAAAAGTTAGAAAAAAAAATTCCAAAATTAAAAAAAAAGTTGCAAATATTTTCAAAATGTATTTTTCAATTTGTCAGTATTGCAAATGATCTGCCTTTTCCGTTAATATTTATTCTAATATTGCTGGATAACAAGTCGAAATCAAAAAGTCCTCTTTAAAAATATTTTTAAAAAATTTAGAATATTTAATTTCAAAAACCTACATATTTAAAAGTTCAATTTTTCAAGGAGTTACTCCAGTTCCCCGTTAGCCGATATACACTGCAATTGGTTGAACAGAAAAAGAAATGATCACCCGGATCGAAGACAATGCAGCTTAAGGCACCGCAAAAAATAGGAAAAAACGGAAGAAAAAAATTCCAAAACCCGTCGCAATCACAATAAGATGCAAAAATAGGTGTGCACAAATTTTTGCAGGCTAAATTGTGTGTTCGCCTTGTTTGCCACAGCTCAATTACACACATGCCGGGGCGAGTGTGTGCTGAAAGCACTCCAGACACTCACAAAATTACACTTGAATGCCCTTTTAATGACCGCATTGCGTATACGCCGCTTTCACTCTTGAAATTCGATAAGCGATTCAATCTGCCATTTGGCACAAGCGAGTGTTTAGCCAGATTTGTAAACATTTTGGCCAACAGAACTTGGTCCCTTACTAATTGAAAGTGATGTAACATCTATGTATGTCAAATTCAAATGTAATTTGCAGTTGGGAAATTACTTCACTTCCGCCGGAAGTTGTTGTGACAGTTGATGTGTGACAGTTTTTAAAATGCTGTAATCCCTTTGCTGTCAAGATATAGGTTATGCATTTTTATTTAAAAAGCCTGCACCTGACTGAGTGAAATTTCCCAAAATGTTTCATAACTTTTAACATGTTTAGCGAGAATCGGCAAAAAAAAATATCACAAAAAAGCATCAACAAAAAACTGTTAACGTTTTGTTTCAAGTCTGCCTTTTTACCTTTTTTTCGCTGTTACTGAAAAAGATTTCAAGGTTGTGTCGCTAAAAGTGAGACGATCGGGAAAAAAATGAAGATGAGCACAGGCGAAACAACAAAAGCGAAGAAAACAAAGCTTAGTGGGTCAAATTGTTGTGCGTTGGAGCCCTTTTTTTGTTGGTTTGTTTTCGGAATTTTTTTAGCATATGACCACGCCCTGAACTCAACTGCAAATATTGGCAGGCACGAGACGGTGTTTGGGCCGTGATTTATGGTTGAACATTTCGTGACCCGAAATGCGCGAACGAGCCTTAGCTTTATTTTGACTCCAATAGGATCGCTGAGATTATGCGCGATTCGAGTGATCATAATCAATGTCAAGAGAAGATTGTCAGAGCTCGTTGATGGTCAGCAATTTGCATAAACCGAAACGCTTATATCATCAAATATTAATTAACTTAATTGCAGGCCCAAGTGACATTTACAGTCGAACTTCTCTGTTTAAAATTCATTGGAAAAAATTAGAAATATAACTGAACTTTGAATTTCTTTTAATTTTATTTAAAGTAAGAGTACATCGAAAATAATAGTCATAAATTCTTAGTACTTTATTGTACATCTAATAAAAGTTTATAATATATGTAAAAAAGTTATGGATCCTGCTTGAATAATGTTGTGTAAGCAAACTTTTGTACATATTTCAATTTCAACTACTCTTAAATTTAAGTGGTCTATAAATGATAGTCAATAAAAAAGGTATTTAATCTGAACCAAAATGGATATTTTTAGTTTCAGTATAATATGTTCCAAAAAGAACTTTTAGTTTTTTTCAAATGGTTAAGAAGTTTTTGAATAATAGTCAATTAAAGTGTTATTTAATCTGAACCAAAACTTATAATATTAATTCCAGTAAAATCCATAGCTGGAGTAATAATTATAAGGTTCAGAATTATATTTATTAAAAAATATCCTTAACGTATAATCCAATTAGGTGGATTAACAATGGAAGTTAGACATTTTACCGTGCTTTAAAGAACAAAGACTTATGATATATTCTATTTTCCCACAGCCATCCTCACGACCCGAATCGGACTTTACGCTCGACCTGCCGCGGGCCGAGCAGCTGCGCCTGAAAATGGAGAAGGAGAAGAAGTTCCGCCAAAGATGTCGCTTCATCACCACGTTCCTCAGCCTGGTCTTCTTCCTGCTGACCGTGATGGTGGTCAGTCTGGTTCTGACCCGCGGCAAACGGATGTTCGGCAGCATGATTTGAGGATACCCGATCGGTGGCAAATGCCACACTAGTTAGCCTCTAGATCCGACTCTGCGCAATCGAGAGAAGGCAGAATATATATTACAAACTACAGTGCCAACCACAATTGTAAAACGTTAGCGAAGCTCAAGTTTAGTGTTAATCGTAGTCGTAAGTTTCTCGTGGTTTTTTTTGGCAGGGCAGGACCGCCACAGCCGCAGTCGCAGTATTGTTAATAAATTATTTATGTGATTTTAGTTGTTAAGTCCAAGTGAGTGCATTTGTTTTGTGCGTACGCGTAAACTGCCTGTATCCAGCCTATCGTTTGTCCAACCTTTCGTTAAGCCCATCAAACTGTATTAAGTCTAAATGTATAATTAATTATAGCTAGAGTTTTGTGAATGTGTGGAGAATAAACAGAATACCAAGTATATTTAATATAACATTTATTAATATGGAACATCCACGCACTGGCGAGTTGAAAGCATCGGTACTTTTGAGATTTTTAATGCCTTCGGGGCTTCAGCGGCATCTTCGTACTTATAGACATAGATATATCATCGTAATCGTTATCACAAGTGGTTTTGTTTTCTTTTTGATTCGTTAAACCTGAACCAACTGCGAGTGGGAGAAATGCACAGAACTTAGTTATTAGTGGGCTTAGTGAGCTACTTGGCTGGCAGCTACAGCGCAAATCTACAAAGCGTTAAATAGCTACGAATTAAGGCAAGATCTGCTGAGAAGTGTGGGAAATGGCGGTGCAGCCAAACGGATCTTTGGCGTGTGCTCGTGTTTGCTATTTCATAATATGCGTATGTTCTGACGATTGACCTCGAACAGGGTGTGGTCCTCTTCGTCGCTGTTCACGTCCTCGATGGCCATCGGCAGTGGTGTCAGCTCCTGGTTGGCCCGGTCGCCCTGTACGCCGTACTTGCGCTCCGCTCTCGACAGACGCAGCCTGTAAAGATTAGCGATTTGATAAGTCTAATCAGCTCTAATCTTGTATACGGATTTTCAAACAGAAAATATCAATCGACATTTTATAAGAGGAAAATAAGCTTTAAAAATGTAAATGTAATGCGCTCTATAAACTAATGTAGAATTCACTGATTAAATTTTTTTTTACAATTTCAAGATTGTTTTTATGATTTATAGTATGGTGTGTTGAGAAGGTTCGTTCTTATTTGAACGCGTGCAAAGTAAGCAATAAATATCTTGATAAGAAGCAGTTCAAAAAAACCATTGAACATGTGATATAATGTTTAAGTTTGAGTCATAGCCCAGGAATTTAGGGCATAACTCACAACTCACCGATAAACTCTCATTACGAGCAGTAGAATGGCTGTACTGGTGATGCCCACTAAGATGTAGACCACGGCCTGGCCGGGGAAGTCCATATCGGGGGTCCTATGTGATAGTTCAACATGCACATCGTCCTCGGGAAAAGTTCCGGTGGCGTGGACCGATTCCGGTGCCTTGGCATCTGCCTGGGGGCCTGGTGGAGCTGCCGGAGCAGTTGGGGCAGCCGGAGCTGCAGGAGCAGCCGGGGCAGGCGGAGCAGGTGCCCCCTTGTCCACAACCACCATGGAATCCTTTGGACCCGCCAAAGGATCCTCTGGTTGGTCCTTCTTCACAGACTGCTTTTTGGGCTCCACCTCGGCAACCGGCGCACTCTGCTCCGCGATTGCCTCCCCTTTTGGAGGCGCCTGGGTGACTGCTGCGTCACAGGTCTGCTGGTGGAATAGGAGCAGCAGCAGTGCTGCAGCCACTAAGTATAACCAGCGGCTGGGCATCTTCTTCTATCCAACTCAAAATCGTTTCCAAATTTAGCCGCTACTACGGATAAACAATGACCTTTTAAATTTCTTTACTGTTTTTGTTTTGCTTAGCTTTAGAGTTGCCACACTCAGGAAAACTGAGCTGAGAATATATTTAGCCTTATATATCTGGTCACACTTAAAAAAGCCGCCTTAAATTGAATCGGAAAAAACTTGATGGAATAAAGTACACGTGAAATAAAGGAAAAAATCATTACAGTACAATAGTGGAATTCATGCCCTTTTAATTATATCACTGTACATGAAAATAAGCCTCGATTAAAAATATAGCTAAGATCGCCAAGTACAGAAAGCTTATCAATTTCTTACAAACATATCGTAATAATTTTAAGTACTGATTGAAATTTATGCAATTTTTACATTCTGGGAAAAAATTAAAAAAAAATTTCACTCATCATTCTGGAAAACAGATCGCATTTTATGTACGTTTATTTTTCGGCTGATAATAATAGAAGAGTTTTTGCATTATACATGCTGTGATCAGTGGTGATCACATCACGGCCATTAGTGATGCGCGATATACAACGATACACAACAAGGTTAAAATTACAATCGGTTGTGACTGCAGAGTAAGGCGCCATCGCTGGTTTTACTGCACCAGTGGCGAGCGGTCACTCTATTTTAATAGTTAGTAATAAACGAAAGTTAGTGATTTTCACAGAAAAGCAGTTGATTTAATTATAAGCCCAATTGCGAAATACACTTTTAAGTTAGTTTAGTTTTAAAGCACATCTGATCTGGCAACAGGTAATTTGAGGCGTCTTAAAGGAAGAAGGCTGCTCCAGACGAGATTTCGGGCTGTGAAAATGGCGAACAAAAGAGAAAAAGTGTGTGTGCTCCAAGGGGGAAATCAAATCACTACGTCACAGAAAGAAAAGATAGGCATACAGGGTATTTTTTTCCATAAAAATGTATTTATTTTGGTGGGAGCAACGGAATCATTGAAGTTTTTAACATTTAACTGCAGTGTAATGGTTATGTGCGCTATTTTTTTTTATCTTAATGCACCTTTGTGTGTGTGAAGACGAGGGCGAGTACGTGCGTGTGTGTGTGTTTATTTAACCAGGAAGTTTGGTTTTTGAACACGATCTATCGATAGGTGGGCGGGGGTGGAGGGGCTCCACTTGCCATTTGATTGGTCAATACCCTACATTGCAGGGCATATCCGACCATGTTGCAGCAGTGCATTACACCTTGAGCTCGGAGTGTGTGTGTGTGTGTGAGCGTGCATGTGCGCGTATGTATTCCGCAAGCCTCTCTTTTATTGCTGTGACATTGGATCATAATAGGCGACCTTCGGGTCGTCGCTTTTTACGTGGCGAGGCCTACCACATTCCCACTCCCATTCCGTTTCTGTACCGTTTCGTCTCGTCCGCAGATTGACACTTTAAATTCCAAAATTGGAACACTGATTCGCCAAGATTCCGGCCACAGCTCCCAGGACGAGAGCCGCCAAACGCCGTCACCTGGACAGCAGCAGCACCAGCAGCAGCCATCCCCCGTCGCCACCTAGGGTGACAGCCTCCGCCGCTGCCTCCTCCAGCCAAGCGCCACTGCAGGCACAGCCTCCTCCAGTGGGAGAAGGCAGAAGGCCGTTGCCACCACCCACCGCCCACGCCACAGCCACAGTTGCCGCCAAGATGAATCGCTCCAGCAATGCCCAGACCACACAGAAGCTCGTCAACCTGGATGACATCTGGAGCGAGCTGGTCGAGGGCATCCTACAGGTGTTCGAGCACGAGAAGTCCCTTACCCGCAGCCAGTACATGAGGTTCTACACGCATGTCTATGACTATTGCACAAGCGTGAACGCGGCGCCCAGCGGACGGAGCAGCGGGAAGACCGGCGGAGCCCAACTGGTGGGCAAAAAGCTGTACGACCGACTGGAGCAGTTCCTCAAGTCATACCTGAGCGAGCTGCTCATCAAGTTCAAGGCCATCAGTGGCGAGGAGGTGCTCCTGTCGCGCTACACCAAGCAGTGGAAGTCGTACCAGTTCTCCAGCACCGTCCTGGACGGCATCTGCAACTACCTGAACCGCAACTGGGTGAAGCGCGAGTGCGAGGAGGGGCAGAAGGGCATCTATAAGATCTACCGCCTGGCCCTGGTCGCCTGGAAGGGACACCTGTTCCAGGTGCTCAACGAGCCTGTCACCAAGGCGGTGCTCAAGTCCATCGAGGAGGAACGTCAAGGCAAGCTCATCAACAGGTCGCTGGTGCGCGACGTCATCGAGTGCTACGTGGAGCTCAGCTTCAACGAGGAGGACGCCGACGTCGAGCAACAGAAGCTGTCCGTCTACAAGGACAACTTCGAGAGCAAGTTCATCGCAGACACGTACGCCTTCTACGAGAAGGAGTCGGACGCGTTCCTGTCCACCAACACGGTGACCGAGTATCTCAAGCACGTGGAAAACAGGCTGGAGGAGGAGACACAGCGCGTGCGCGGCTTCAACTCGAAAAACGGACTCTCCTATCTGCACGAGACCACGGCGGATGCGCTCAAGTCCACATGCGAACAGGTGGGAATGCCGAACATATCCCACTTTATAGTTCACGTACTAACCAACGAATCAATGTATTTCAGGTTCTTATCGAAAAACATCTGAAAATATTCCATACCGAGTTTCAGAATCTGCTTAACGCAGACCGAAACGATGATCTGAAACGGATGTACTCGCTGGTGGCCCTCTCACCCAAAAACCTGACAGATCTCAAGTCCATCCTTGAGAACCACATACTCCACCAGGGCACCGAGGCCATTGCCAAGTGCTGCACCACCGACGCGGCCAACGATCCCAAGACCTACGTCCAGACCATCCTGGACGTGCACAAGAAGTACAACGCCCTCGTCCTGACGGCGTTTAACAATGACAACGGATTCGTGGCAGCCTTGGACAAGGCATGTGGAAAGTTCATCAACTCTAACGTGGTCACAATCGCGAACAGTGCTAGCAAATCGCCCGAGTTGCTGGCCAAGTACTGCGACCTGTTGCTGAAGAAGTCCTCCAAGAATCCGGAGGACAAGGAGCTCGAGGACAATCTGAACCAGGTTATGGTCGTCTTCAAGTACATCGAGGATAAGGATGTCTTCCAGAAATACTACTCCAAGATGCTTGCTAAGCGCCTGGTGAACCACACATCGGCCTCGGACGACGCCGAGGCCATGATGATCTCCAAGCTAAAGCAGACGTGTGGCTACGAGTACACCGTCAAGCTTCAGCGAATGTTCCAAGACATTGGCGTCTCAAAGGACCTGAATTCCAACTTCAAGCAGTACCTGGCCGACAAAAACGTGACCATGGAAATTGACTTTGGCATCGAGGTTCTGTCCTCGGGCTCGTGGCCCTTCCAGCTAAGTAACACCTTCCTGCTTCCCTCTGAGCTGGAGCGGTCGGTGCGACAGTTCAATGAGTTCTACGCCGCCCGCCACTCTGGTCGCAAGCTCAACTGGCTCTACCAGATGTGCAAGGGCGAGCTAATCATGAACGTCAACCGCAATAACTCCTCCACTTACACCCTGCAAGCCAGCACTTTCCAGATGTCGGTGCTGCTACAATTTAACGATCAGCTCAGCTTCACAGTCCAACAACTGCTGGACAATACACAGACACAACAGGAGAACTTGATCCAGGTGAGATTACATCCTTTCATTCTCTAGCTGCTTACTTATGAGGTATTCCTTCAGGTATTGCAAATACTGCTCAAGGCTAAGGTGCTGACCTCCAGCGACAATGAGAACTCGCTGACGCCCGAGTCGACGGTAGAGCTGTTCCTGGACTATAAGAACAAAAAGCGTCGCATTAACATCAACCAGCCGCTGAAGACTGAACTTAAAGTGGAGCAGGAGACTGTACATAAGCACATAGAGGAGGACCGAAAATTGCTGATCCAGGCGGCGATCGTTCGCATTATGAAAATGCGCAAGCGACTCAACCACACCAATCTCATTTCGGAGGTGCTTAATCAGCTGTCGACGCGCTTTAAGCCCAAGGTGCCCGTGATCAAGAAGTGCATAGACATCCTGATCGAGAAGGAGTATCTAGAGCGTATGGAGGGACACAAAGACACATATAGTTATCTCGCCTAAGTTTATGTTAAATGTACAACCTTCGCTGTTTCATCTATGCCAGCCATTAAAAATATCATCAATATACTTAGAGATCGTGTAGACCCTCCGCGCCCCCTCCTACCCAGCCCGAAATAAACTGCCGCTGAAACATTCGAACTGTTCGCGAGCTAAAAATACTCCATGCTTGACATTATATGTGCAATTCTCGCCAACACGTCACTAACTTCATCTACCGTCAGCCGAGCACATCGTTTGAAGGGAGCAATGGAGCCCATAGACAAGATGATGAACCGGCCAGATTCCAATTTCCGAGAGCAACCTAGGTTCCCACCAATCAATAGACTCTTGCTGTATGGTATAAATATAAAGCGATTTTCTTTATTACCCTTTGTTCGCGATCAAGTTTTGTTTTAACTAGTTTACGTTATTCATAATTCGCTATATGCATATACGATTATTATACTACTACGAAGCAAACGAGAGTTAAGTTCATAAATCAATGTATGTACGTTTACCTCTGGTGCGGTTATTTTTATTTCGCGTTTCTATTCCTGAAGTTGCAACTTCTGATCTAAGTTCATTCCGCTGGCAATGGCGTATACGGTAAAGGCGAATTTGGCCACCTGCAAGAACGTATGTTTTTTTTGGAGTTCCCTGTCCCTTTGGAGATCACTGAACTTACATTGATGTTTGTGGCCAGATTTATGTTGAATATATTCATGGCCGTGAACGTCATGGGCTGCTGGAGCTTCTGCAGAAACTGAAGAACTGTCCGCTGGTACCGCTTGTCCTGCATCCACCAGGAACTATGGAAAAGTGCATCCGCCAGCTCGTTGCAGTCATCTACGATGGCGTTACAGTAGAAGCAGAGCGGGAACGTCTGCAGAAGGACGGCCATAACGTAGGTTACTATGCCAAATCGGGTCGACTGGTCGGCGAACAGCACCATATTGATCATAACGATCCCCAGAATGGAACCGCATATGATGAATTGGGCAAATATAGTGCCAGAGATGATGGGTTGAATGGCATCACAAAAACTGGAGGAATCATTAGGATTTGTATACAAGTTGTACTTTAATTTTATTGTAAAGCATACACTTTAATTGATAGGAGTTTCTTTGTTGATAGGTGTACAATTTTTTTTGGTCCAGTTTTGGAACTAAATATGAAAACATTATATTTGTACACCAAATATTTTGGAAAATACAAAATATCTCTCTATAGATGTTCTCATCTACACAGTACTTTTTTTATTTTCTGGATCATTTTAGATCAGGGGATTTAAAATTTATTTTGTGGTATTATGCCACAAAATTTTTATATTTGTTGGTATTCTTAATTACATACAAAATTAATGGGAAATATTTTTAGAGTATGGCTAACATCACTTACTTCAGCATTGTTCTGTGAGCCTTGATGCAGTCCACCAAAGATTTGAATATGGAGTCGCGGTCGCTGCCACCTTCATTGCTGGCCTCGCCCAGGTTGATGATGCGGTCCTTAAGCATCAGGATGTGGGATCGCAGGGCCGCCACGTATATCACAGGGTAGGAATCGGTGGCCGTGGCCACGAATATGGCATAACCCACGGTAAAGTACTCCAGGAAACTCTGAATGTACAACTGAGTGCGATTAATCCGCCAGTTTACAAAAGGATAGTAGGTGTTGTATGGCACACGGTCGTGAAATAGTCCGTCCAGCAGGGTGGAGGTGGCGTATAGAACGTAGACCACCACGAAGATCAGGTACAACCTGGTGATGGCGGCCACCATGTCGCGTACTTTGCGCTTCTCCTCCGGCTTCACACAATATTTGTCCATCTCGTCGAAGTGCTTGTTGGCCAGCTCCAAACGGTCCATGTAGATGACCAGCGTGAAGAACTTCAGAGCGAAGCACCAGGTGTTGAGGCAGAGCTGCAGGGATTGCAGCAGCAAGTCCGGCGGGAACTCCGCAAGGTGGATCGTGTAGTTGATGGGAAAACTCACGGGTAGTATCAGCATATTATAGATGAAGGAGAACACCCTCCAGATTTTGCGGCCAACTCCGAAATCGTTTCGAAAGTTTAGACCGGAGATTCGCAGCGTTTCAAGCAGATAGGCGTTCGAGTCTCTGGTGCTGATGGGTTCCGATATGGGAGCTGGGTACATGAGCTTAAAGTATCCGAACATCTTTAATTGCGTACGTTTAGGGCTAAGAAGTAACTGGCGAAAGGAAAGACTTGAAATGCTTTTATAGCCCGCGAATCGCAGTTCTTAATTCTTAATTGGTTGCCAATTAAAAAGGCGTACCGCTGTTTGTTGCAAAGGAATTTCACACATGTCATAACATATCAAAGGCTAAAGCCCTATATCTTTTTGATTATAGACATTGCATATTTTGGGCGTTACTGTGTAAAAGGATATCTGTTTTATACAACTCGAATTGTTGTGCAATACTGCCTTCGGTGGGAACTGACACTTGTTAAAAAAATATGAAGGGGCCAATGTTGCCTCGCTCCATTTACAGCTTAAAGATTTATAAATTTTGTACATTTTTTGCATATGAATTTGCTCGTCTCCTAAATTCTATACACATATCTTCATTGTGATGGCGTCATGTCTGTTTAAAAACTATGAAATACAAAAAGACTATCCATAAAATATCTTTGATGTCAGCCGCACGAAAATATAAAAAGGAGATCGTAGGTCTGCCGTTAAGCAGTGTTATTAGTGGCATCTTCAATCCTCATCGTCAAGTGTTAGTACTTTAGTCTGGAAGCGCATACGCTTGGTGTTCTTCACCACACCGTTAGTGAGGAGATTGACCCCGGTCTCTGGACACGGCAGGTCATTCCACAAGCGCTTGACCTTCACCACGGCTACGGAATTGAAGTCGTATCTCTTTGTTGCGGAACTTGGTTCAGGTACGGAAGCATTGGGTGGGAGCTTACGCAGTTTTACAACGGGCTGCAGCTGGCGACAGCTATTGTGGCTGCTGACACTGGCCCTGTCGTCGGCGTCATCGGTGGGCTCCGCATTCGAATCACACCCATTGGCAGCTAGCGAGCAGCCGCGCTTTTGTGGCGACTCTCCCTTGGGTTTAACAACACGCAAACTGAAGTATTGGGGTTATCTTAGTACAAAATTCAACGAACTCATGAGCTAATTAAATACCTTGCTTGTTTTTCAGACTCATTTAAAGTGGGCGGCGCTGCAGCGCATATTTTCCCCGGCTCCTCAGGGTGGCAGCCAAAGTCCTGACCCCTCAGCCAATTCTCGTAGCGCTCAGGCTGGAAACGGCGCACAAAGGTCTCCATCGAGATCTTGACCATGTCGCTGCGGCACCGGCAGATACTTGCCCGCTTGCCGTACTCGATCCATCGCTTCGACGCGAAGTTGGTGGACTCTGCGCCGTTGAAGCCGTGATTGAACCCAGCATGGTAGCCGAAGGGGAATGTGATCATGATCTCACCCGCCTCTTGGGTGATCTTGTTGTAGGGTATGTTGTGCTGGCGCAGCACCTTCGGACTGATCATGGTCATCTTGTGGCGCAGATAGGCATTGCACTCCTGGTAGTTCTCGGCGAAGGTTTCCCTGGCCAACTTCTCGAGACGTCTGCCATAGGCCGGCGGGATGGCGTACCAGGTTTTGGGTGCACCGAAATGCAGATAGTTAATGGAATACAGATCCATATCCTCGGTGTGCCAGGCGAAGGAGCTCTTCCACATGCCAAAGTAGAGGTAGGCCGTGTTCACGCCATCGATGATGATGTTGTAGTCTGTGTTGACCAAGTTTAGGATAGTGTCCAGACGGCCGATGTTCCACACGTCCAGTTCCTCGTCACTCAGGGATCCCTTGACGTCGGCCGCGTACAATGGCGATATGTAGGTGATGTTCTTCCAGTACTTGCGCTCCAGGTCCTCGTAGTCGAAGTGGCGCGGGGTCTGGTGGAGCTCGGAGTTGGCCTTCTCCATGAACTGGCGCAGGGTCATCTGGCGACGCTGCTGGATGTTGATCTGCTGGTACACCCCGTGGGCACTGCTAGTCGAAAGGGATTCCTTGCTGAGTGCCAATGGCTCTGAATTGAGAGGCACTTACCCGGTGACCACTTGACTGATCGGCGCTGGAATTGTCATGTTGATGTTCTCTATGTCGTAGCCTGACTTTCGGGGCACCCATTCCGCCGGTGGCTAGGGATAGACAGCATACGTTAACTCTATTCAATTAATCAGGGGGTTGTCTGGCCAACATACCTGGATTTTGGCCAAGCCGGCTAAGTGAGCTCCGCGTGATTCTATGTACTCTATGTAGGCGGAAAAGTCCTTGAACTCCTCGTAGCTGGGACGGAAGGTCATGATGCGGGGCACTTTTGTCTGCTCCTCATCACCGAATGAGGATCTGGTGGACATTTTGGAGAAACAAACAAAAAAATTAAGCAAGTGACAATTTCCCCCGTTGTCTAGTGTGACCAAAGAACACGAAATCAGACTAATACTCCGCCGTAGACCAAAATACCAATAATATACATTTAAATTAAAACACATAAAATAGTAAGGGTATTCCCTATACTGTTCGTGCGTTTATTTCTGGTCAGCTGTTTATCAGCTGTTCCATAAAACTTCAATGGTCATTAATTTAACAATCTCTATGCTGTTGATTTGTTGATAACTGCAGATTTTTTTTTTTTAATCTTTCATTATTCAATAAAAAGAATATTTGCATATCCGCCATAATTTTTGTTTATTTTTGATTGGCCAATCCGGTCATTTCGGATCAACTGTAGTCTGTGTAAACGCTTGCATCCATTTTAACTTGATGCAATTTTAAAAGGCTCTATTCAAAAATATAATACGTACTACATGTTTATTTATATGGCGACACAGATTTACAAAGTTTGTTAAAAAATACAAAAATAAGTTTAATATATGCAAATTAATTTGTTGTTGTGCCAGTCCAATTGAACAAATTAAACTCCGGTCACACTGCTCTGGTGCGAGCAACATTTGTCGTACGAAAAACGAAATAAAAACAAATCAAATGGCCGGACGTGAAGCTGTGAAGCGCGCCGTGCAGCAGGTGCGCCCCATCCTGTCCGTGGACCGGGAGGAGGCCCGGAAGCGAGCCCTGAACCTGTACAAGGCCTGGTACCGCCAGATTCCCTACATCGGTGAGTGCTCCTGGTTATGTCATCAGAGTCCGCATCCCGACGCCATATAATCCAATCCCTGCACTTGCAGTCATGGACTACGACATCCCCATGACCGTGGAGCAGTGCCGCGACAAGTTGCGCGAGGAGTTCGTCAAGCACCGCAGCGTGACCGACATCCGTGTGATCGACATGCTGGTCATCAAGGTAAGGCCCTCCTTCACAACAAACCAACCAGTATGTTAACCCATCCTCTACACAGGGCCAAATGGAGCTTAAGGAATCCGTGGAGATCTGGAAGCAGAAGGGCCACATCATGCGCTACTGGAAGGAGTCGCAGGATCCCAAGCCCACCGACTTCCTATCCAAATTTATCCAGGGTGTTAATTAGTTGTTGAAATTGAAATAGTTTAAATACAAACTCCTTCCGAGTGTAAATCGAACTCAAGCCAATTTTGTGCGCTTCAGAGCGCGTGTTTCCTTCCAGTTTATTGAGATTGTGACTTCAAAAAAATCATGGTTTCACTGTGGATACATGTAAAGATGTACGTTTTGATCTCAGTTCTCTGAGCAAAAAAGTGGTCCGAACTGAAATAATTGGAGGGGTGTGTGTAAAATGTCGGTTTTGGGATGATTTGTAAAGTGCAGACAGTCTTCTAGCTCTCGTCAGCTATAGTTCGTGCCGTTTGATTTTGTAAATTCTATGCAGGTAAATGGATCGGCGGTCGGTTCTTAGGGTATCAAATTTAGCAGGTTGTCCAGGGCTGTGGAGTTGGCAAAGAGATCTGTGGATATGTCGTCGTAGTCCACGCCCAGGCTCTTCAGCTCGGTGAAGCAGTCCTCCGTAAAGCCAGGAATCTCCAGTGAGTTGTTCGACCTGTTGAATGCATCGTGTCGATTGGTGTAGCCCTTCTTTTCGCGAAACATCTCGGCCAGCTGCTCGTCGCTTAGCTCGGTACCATGCACCTTCTTGGAATGTTGCCGGAACCTAGAAGTTGGACAACTGTTGGTCATAAATTCTAGACCAGGTAGTCTATGTTACGTACTTGCTGCGATCTGCAAACTCGCCGGTGCAGTCCTGACACTTGTACGGATACTCCATGTGCTCGTACTGATGCTGACGCCTTCGCCACCTGGTCTTTGTCTCAAAGTTGCACACTTCACAGCGCCAGACCTTCGCCTTCTGGTGACTCCTCTGCTCGTGCTCGCGCATCAGGGCCATGTTTTGGAACTGGCTGCCACAGGTGGGGCAGCTCAGCTGCTCCTCGTTTACATGGGCTCGCTCGTAGTGCACCCGCAACTCCGCAGAGTTTACATAGTTTAGCGAGCACTTATCGCACTGGAAATGCCTCTCCGAATGCCGCTTGCGATGCAGGGTCAGGGTGTCTGCACTCTTGAAGCTCCTGCGGCAGATCTCACACTCGTGTAGAGTTTCCACGGCATGCAGTTGCTGCAGGTGCAGCTCGTATTTGCGCATGGTACTAAACTCCTGATCGCAAAAGGTGCAATGCACAGAATCCTTCAATTGGCAGAAACGCTGGTGACTGTGCAGACTGGCCTTCTGGCTGAACACCTTGTCGCACTCCTTGCAGGCGTATGTCTCAGTCGGGGACACCAAAACCTTCGCGGGAGTGTGCACCCTGGTGTAGTGTTTTCTGGCCGACCGCTGATCCTTGAAGATCCTGTCACAGGCCGGGCAGTTTGCCTGCATGTAGCAGTACATTTCTGGTTGATAAAGAAAGTAAGTTAAGGACATTTCGAGATGGAATTCTTCTAAGATGCCTACCAAAGTCTCCATCTATTTTATGGTGATCGATGAGATGCTTCTGCATCTCGCTTCTGTCTTTCGTCTCATAACTATTGCAAGGTCGGCACTTGAAGTTTTGATCTGAAACATAAACCTCTTGAAGCATTTACAAGGATTATAATGAACAAGACAACTCACTTTTGTTTAGGCCAATTATGTCATCTTCGGCCATAGATATTTTGTGAATACTTTTGTAATGACTTCTTAGCTGCTCAGCATCGGTATCCGTATATTGGCAAACATTGCATTTTAAAATGGGTATATTAACCATTGTATTGCTAGTGCTGGCTTCTTCCAGCACAAGTGTAGTGGGTTCCTCTACCCCATTGGCTAAAAGTAAGAAAATTATTATGATACTACTAAACTTTCTTTAAAGGCTTACATTTAGGATGATTACTGGACTCCTCCTTTGGACCTTGGCTGCTGGCATCATCGTTCAGTGTCATATATAGAGCGCGTTGTATAAGATCACACTCCGCATCGGACATATCGCCGTTCTTGTTATTGAAATTATAATTGTTATTATTCTCGCCACTTTTCCTGCCCACCGAGGTGGCAATAGCTGCATCTCCTGATGTAATACTGCTCTCGAAGAAGGTCTCATTGTTCTTGGCATCCGAACCGTCGTTTTCGTCCTCCTCCTCCAGGTCATTGGTGTCGTACTTCACATCGAAAAGGATGACTATTTGGAGGGCAGAAAGGATAACTATTGATTAAATTGTAAAACAAGAGATACCCACCTTCATCTTCTTTAGGCGCTTTCTTGCTGCTCGACGCATCGGCATCTAGTCGGGGCACCTTGGCTCCTCGCATGTAGAGCACATTCTCCTCAATTGGCCCAGGCATGCCCTCATATCCCTCGACGAACTGCTCGAACTCCTGGCTGAACTGATTCCAGTGAAGCGACTCGCTGCTGGCCTTCCTTTTTAGTTCGCCCGTGGGACTGGGCAGCTTGACGCTTTTCGCTTCTGCATATAGCTTGAGATTCGACTCCAGGGCCATCTCCACGAAGTGCATGGCCACCTCCAGGGCACGACAGCAGCGCACGCATATCTGCATGGGCCACAGGTAGCCACCGGGACTGATGACCCGCAGGTCCAGGTGGGTGCACTGCTTCAGGCACTGGGCATAGGTCCGCGACTTCTGGAGATTGGGAATCTCGGCGCTTAACTGCACGGTTTTCCGGTCCACCGATAGACATGCTCGGCACTTGGAGCCCTTGTTCAGCTTATTCATGGCCGCCAGCGCGGGATCCGCTAGGGATGTGGCGGCGTCCATGGCGCTCTTGTTAATTGGGATGCTTTTCTTCGCTGGATAATCCTTTTGTTCCTGGCTGTTTCAAAAATATATTCGGCTAACAATGTGTATTGTGTTTTATACCGCTCTTTTGTGATCAAAACTGGTGTGACCGTCTAGGGGCTCACACAAAATTCTCATGCCGGCGGCCTTTTTGTTTTTGTGGAGCATCTTAAGTTCCAGGGGCGTTCGCAAAGGGCTTTTTCGGGGGTGTCCCTTCGTTCATAAAAGAATTTTCAAAAACTAAAAGTGTACACATTCAGTTTCAGGAGTGGTGTAAATTGTTGTTGTTGTTGTTAAGTTGGGTTACCAAAAATATGAAAATATGAAACGTAATAAAAATAAACAACAATGTACAGTAATCATATCCAAGCAAAAACACTTCTGGAGATCCCCGTGACAAAATCCTAATTACGCCACTGATTGTTTTTATTGGTATACGTTCGCCATGGTCACACTACTAAATATATATATATAGTGTGTGGGCGGACGGACACTCCCTTGAGCGGACAAGGAAATTCGTTAATTTTGTAGCGAGTTTTACTACTATCGACTAATGAAAGGGTTTACCCTTATCCAATGATTCTGTACGTCAATGGAAATGCCACAGCGACGACCCAGAAAACCAAGACAACTGCTTAGTCTGGAGGAGAAAATGGAAGTTATCCGAACCCATGAGCAGAATAAACTAACAGTGCGGGATCTAGCGAAAAGGTAACGTCCCCTGCATTGTTTATAAAAATAGCTCTCAATTAAGATTTATTTAGATTTAACATTGGTAAAACTCAAGCAGCTGAGATTTTAAAACACAGAGAGGCAATCAGGATAGGATTGGCGACTGGAGAACTGAAAATGAACCAGATGCGAAGGAATCCCCTCAGTCAGAAGGGCACTCATATCGACGAGATATGCTTCGAATGGTTCTCCCGGGCCAGAAGCGAGAATATTCCCATATCCGGCGAAATGGTCCGGGAAAAGGCCAAGCAGATAGCGGACGAAGCGGGCTACACCGATTTCACAGCCTCCTCAGGATGGCTTCAGAAATGGAGGAAGCGAAACAATATAGCATATAATGCCACCGGTGACAGCCTGGACCTGCAGGAGTTCGAGGCTATCCTGGTCAAGAGCGAACCTATCTCGAACAGGGATGATGATGAGGAGCCTTCTCCAGTAAGTTTAATAGGTCCCATCTACTCCAAAGAAGAGGCTATGCTGCAGTTGGCTCGCTTAAAGGAATTTGCCAGAGATGACTTTGTTTCCTACCAGCAGTTACTGAGCCTGGAAAACCAGTGGAGCTGGAAGTGGAAAAATTTCAAAAAGGAGGTTCCTTGACCTAAATGATCTTGTTGAATTTTAAATCTCGAATTTTATATTAGAAGTAGTTTAATTTATATAACATGGTTTGTTTTTAAAGACATACAGTTTACTAATTTATATTTCTGTTAAAACAAGTAAGATAAACTTCATGTTATTCTATTAAGAACATTTATTGCTCGCATATATATAAAATACATGACCCATAGGAGGGTCGATGTGCAATAAAAAAAAAAACATAATATTGGATGCATTTTAGACACTAACTGTGAAGCTCTTTCTCTTTGGCCAAAGCAGAGCCAGCTGGTGGAGATTGCCTCAATAGTGATTGGGTATCAAATCGATGATTTTCTGACATCCTGAGGCGGATAATTACATTTAAGGCGGTTCTATAAGTTACATGTTGCCATTGGGGCATACCCCAAGTTGTGGGCGATCATAAATACGTTACAAGTTAACTGAAATCCATCGCTGTTCGCTATACATAGATATATGTCGATAAATGAATTTATATCTACTATGCGGGTTATGTTATGTGAGAGATTAAATTTAATGTGATTAGTCTACAACTTAAAATGTAAACTTTAAGACATTAGATGTGCTAAAACGATGGAGAGGAACAGAACTTAGTCTATATCAAACTTTGTACAATGTGCGGCTACGTTGCTTGATTGGTAAGAGCATGAGTTGGGACTACTTGGAATTATTGCATGCAGCTGCGGTCTCCTCCTTGATTTCCTCTTCGCCATCCACATCCTTATTGCAACTGGAAGTCGTTTCATTCAAATCTTTAGAGTTGTTAGGGTCCGTAGACTGTGCAGAGATGTCAGCTAATTCTTCTTTGGTCAACCGGATATTGTGAATCAAGAGAACATGGCTTGTGAGTCTACATGGAAAATAGGTTTTAATAATAAAGTGTGCAACTGATTAAGACTGATTCATCGGCTTACCTTCCACGCCGTAAGTAGGAGCGTTCGCACTTGGGACACTTGTAGGTCGCCATGCCCTTGTGCACGCTCATGTGATTCCTCAAATGCATACTGGATTGCATCTCCTTGTTGCAGACGGTGCATGTATACCGCGCGTCCAAGTGGATTGCGTTCTGATGGCGCACCAAATGATGCTTGAACCCGAACGTCTTCCGGCATCCATCATACGTGCACCGCAGCGTCTTCTCCTTTGCATGCTTTGTTTTCGTGTGCCGCTCCAGCTCAGCGTTGGTCACAAAGGTTTTGGGGCAGAGCTTGCACTGTGATTTCCGGGCGCCGTGCCGCTTCATATGGAACTTGAGCAGAGTGAGCGTTCGGTATGCCGTATTGCAGATTGCACACTTGTGTTGGTAGCCCCACCGCGAAGGCTGCGTGTTGGAGTGCAGCTCCATCTCGTGCTTAACCAACTTGCCCAATTCGTCAAAAGTTTTGTTGCATAGCTTGCATGCGTAAGTGGAAGTTCGGTGCAGACGGGAGTTGGAGCGTAAACCCTTCACTGGCGATGCAGCCAGGGCGGCGGTGGTCAATAGTTTGTCGCTTCCGTTGAGATGACTGCTTGGTGGGGCATTCGTGGTGGCTTTGGGCATGGCATGGGAATTGGGCGTGGATCGTTGGGCTGCATCTCCCATGAAGTCATAGTCGTAATCAAACGGTGTGGGCGTGGGAAAGAGGTTGGTCGACGATGAGGCTGTCGTTGTGATGGGCGATTCGGAGGATGTAGCTGCCGCTGCTGCTGCCGCTGTTATTGCTGCTGCTATTGCCGTTGTCGTCACTGCTGTGGCTGCGTCCAATGTCACTGGATCTAGTTCTTCCTCTGGCACTGCCGCTTCCATTTTTATTCCCGATCCATCATCTTTGCCAGCTACTTCTGGTGAGAGCAACAACAATCAACGATCATTGTTCATCGTTGAGCAATAGCGTTTTTGGATTATCAATCGAATTGTGTGGTGGCGTGTATTGGGCATAGTTGGAATGGGAATTTGAGTTCGTTCTTGCAAGGCTATTGAGGCTCTTACCATTGCCACCGCCATTGCCTGATGCCGCCGCCGTCATCATCTCAGCCCCACCTTCCGTCTGCATCATCTCAATCTGTTTGTTTTCCTCAAAGACCGGATTCTCTGGTCCACAACTTGTGGACGACGATGTGGTCAATGTTACAGTGGTGCTTTCCACCGATTGTGGCGTTTGCATCTCTATAATAGTGTCCACCAAGTGGCTGCGCTGCAGGTGGCGGCTGAGGGTGCTTTTGGCCGCGAAAGATCGAATGCAGCGCGGGCATTCAAAGGGCAATTCTGTGAATAGATTGGGTAAGTTGTAATATAAGGGCATAAGGCGTTAAATGGGATTCTACGTGGAAATTCGATTGGTTAGTGCCAAAGTTACTTACTGCGAATAATAAACACCTCGTTGGCATGTATGGAAACTGAAATCAATATAGTATGTAGGGTATTAATAATCATTCATTAAAATTAATGGTAAAGTAATAATACTTGTGACCCAGCTAATTGATTAGCATACCACTTTTAGTATATAAATTGTTATAATCACATGTGACTAAATAAGAATTTAAAGGTTCTTACCACCATCATTAATGCCGTGGTGGGCATTTAGATGCTGCCGCATATCCGCATCTGAGTCGCACTCGAATGGACATTTAGCGCACATGAGCATTTGTTCTAAAGATAGAGATGGAAATTGCTGATGGTGTGCTTTAAATATAGTTGTATTCCAGCTTACTCTTCATCTTGCCAAGATATAGTTTCTCGATGTTAGTGCGGGCTACTGAAACCTTATCGCCCTTGGCCTGGACCATGTCCCTTGTGGGCATTCGCTTGTGCACAGTTTTGTAGTGCCTGATCAGCAGGCGCTTCATGTTGTACAGATTGGTACACAGCTCGCAGCGGTAGGGGGCCAAACCTGAACACAAAAACAGATATATGAGTATTGGATTACAAGAAGTACGTGACCCAGCTGACTCACCCCGATGGATAAACATGTGGTTCTCGAACTTATACTGGCTGGTAAACTTCTTGTTGCAGTATATGCAGTAGGGCTTCTGCAAATGCTTCGATTGCTCGTCGTCAAAGTCGTCGACATCGTCATCGTCACTGGTTAGGAGCAGATTCTGATCTGTGGCAGCATCGTTGTTGTCATTCTCGTCATCGTTGTCCGCCTCCTCCTCCTCCTCCTCTTCGCCCACCGCATCCTCCTCCTCGTCGAAGTCCTCGAACAAGTTCTCGGCATCAAAGTCCAGACTGATATTGTTATTATCAATCACAATGTCATCGCCATCTACCACGGGCATATCGTCCGCGGGTATTGTGCAGATGGCAGCCACATCGGTGTTGTCAATGAAATCCTGCATGTCGCCAAATATCGAAATGTTGGATGTATTGACTGCCACTTGCTGAACAGCTTGCTGAACGGCTTCGTTCACGGGCAGAGTGCCGTCTGAGATTTCGGGAAAGATTTCAAATGCATTGCTGTTGGCTTCTCCGGTTGATTCCACCACAGGAGTCATTGGGATAGGCAGCGGGTTCGTCGCTACAGCTGTGGTACTGGCGGTTGCCGCATAGAAAAGCGGCGTGGCATCCACCAACACGTTGATGTCGCCCGTTTCCGTGATGGTCGTGGATGTAGTGGCCATTGGCACTGGTTGCTGCATTGGTACCTGCTGTTCCACAACAACTGGCGGATCTGCAAGACATTGCAAAAAAGGAATAATGTTAAACCGAAAAATGAATACACTTAAAAAACTTTTGGATTAAAATAAAACTTTGTTAGTTTGTAAGCTAAAGATACTAAAAATTATATCGAAAATTCACACAAAACATCTAGAATAGGTGAATTAATCCTGTTTAGTCCTTACCGAAAGTCACAATCCTACCATGTGCTGTAGATTTTGCTCTTACTAATATGGAATATAGGCCTTTGGAACTTGTTTCGAGTGTCATCATCGCGTTGGCTATAGGAAATCCCCAATCCTACCCGCTAATGAAGGCCAAAGACTAAATGCCATTATGATTTAAGCTCAAATTTACTAGCAAAATATGGAATTACCTTGATAAAAGCGATACATTAAAATATTTGGAAATGTTGGCGTGTAGAACAGATTTAGAATTCGTATGCAATGTTTACTATTTTCTAATATATACAATAAGTTGTACTTTTTGTGTAGACTGATGGTAAATAGTGAGCCAGAAAATCACCGCCAAATGAGTTAAATAAAGAGGCAACCAATTAAATGAAAAGAAAACTACGAGTGACACTCGAAACAAAACCAGATGAACTGTGATCTCAGCATAAAAACAAATCAACAAATATCAAATAAATAATGAATTCAACAAACTATAAAAGTGACGAAAATTTCATTTGCGAATCATTTCATAACGCTCCGAAATACCGCTCCTATTCGAATCTCAAGACTCACATTTAATGCCAATTGGGATGTCGTTGTGATCTGGTTTCCTGACCGAAGGCAGCTGCTTGGGGGCAACGCCACTCGGAGCTGGAGCTTGGAGAATGCTAGCTCCCGCCTCACTGGACCAACTGGGACGCAGCTGCACCTCCGTGGGATGGACCCTGTGCCCATCCGTGTAGTGCGCTCGCAGCTGACTGGCGTTGCGCGTCTCGAAGAGGCACATGTCGCACGAGAAGACACGTGAATCCGGCTCTTTGTCACTCCTGCCGTTTTCATCAGACCGATGGTGGACCATCTTGTAGTGCTGTATGAGATCGGTGCTGCGCAGCGAGTAATAGTCGCACTGGTCACAGAAGAACTTGGGCAAATCTGTTCGAAACAAAAGCACAGGGATTAGTCATTTAAAAACATTGCATTAAGATAGGTGGAATGAACTAACTGCTGTGTGTCAATTGGTGAGATTTGAGGCGTGTCACAGTGGAAAATGTTTTCGGACATATTTTGCACTTGTGCTTGTAGGCCGGCGATCCGCCTGCCGTTGGCTTTGGCCTGGCTGTAAACGTATAAAAGTAGATTGTAGAAGCGTATTACTAGCCTGGCAGGCGCATCTTACCTCTTGGCTGTGGCATAACATCTTCCACAATCAGCTCGCTGACATCGATATCCATCGGTACACTCTGCTCATTGACACCCAAAAGATTTTGTAGGCTGATATTGACATTGGAGGAGCTGTTCGGCTTGCTGTCATCGATATACTCTATGACCACGCCTGCAAATGGATCGGTATGAGTGATTTTTCCTTAATTAATTACTCGTAGCTAGCTAAACCAACCGCTTCCATTGACCTGCTGCAGCGAGCCATCGGGCAGGACCAGGTACTCGGTCCCTATGCTCACATTGGGCGTGTCCATGGGCGGTAAGGTGGAGGTGAGAGTGTCTACTCCCGGCAACGTTTCGCCCATGCTGACGGCCAGCTGCTGCTCAATGTCGCGCAGCTGTTCGGAATCGATATGCGGCTGCAGCTGTGGCTGTGCGTAGTCATCTGGCGTCAGAACAGTGGGTATTAGCAGCTCCATGTCTTCTAGCGTGCACACCGCCTTGGGTTCTTCATCTCTGGGCGCTGGCAAGTCCTTGTTTTTGACATGCTCCTCCGCCTGGCCAGTGGACAGGCCATGAATGTTGACATAATGCTCCAGCAGTACGCGCTGTTTTAGCGTGGTGAAGCTGCACAGCTTGCAGTTGTACGAAAGACCCTCTGGAAATGGATTCGCGCTGTGAGATGGTGAAATACGATAGGTTTATAGGGGTAACATGTACCTGCATGTTGCCGTATGTGCTGCTTGAGCTCCAGGCGATTGTAGACCACCACCCCGCACACCTGGCACTCGTGCCGCATGGTTTTCAAGGGTCTCTCCGTCTCCAGCTGGAAGTGAAGGAGAAAGGAAAGGGTATTTTATGCTGGGAATGTGAGGACCTTAAGACAAACATACTTCTTGAGGGACTGCTGGGTTTCCGGGTTTCTTCTCCGGCTCCTGGACCAGAGAGCCATTAAGTCTCCTTTGGCCACGCTTGGGACACAGTTTGCGACACAAGATCTCATGGGCACGCAAAGCATTCTTAAGGAAGTAGTAGGCAACCTGCAGGCTCTTGCTGCACTCGATGCAGATGTACTGCGGCAGCTCGGGGGCATTTTCGGCGCTCACGCAGAAGAGCAGGCACCGGAGCAGGGGGATCTTGTCCGATGTGTCCGCCGGATCCAGACTGCGCGCCACCGCCACCGAGTCCAGTTTGAGGTACTCCACATCCGTCTTCAGGCAGCAGCGACACGAAAACTTGTAGTCCACCTCCGCGCCCGAAATTGCGTCCGAGTGCGAGCTGTTCCTCTTGTTCAGCGCCATCGTTCACGCGTTGCTCATCTGATGGCGCTCGTTTCGCGTGGTCTCCTGTCGCAGCAATTAATTGGCAAATGGCCGCCGATCTCTCACGATTTAACAATAAAAAACTCAATTGTTTTTCTTCACTCGCGTCGCGTCGAAATAAAATGGCAAGCCAGGGTTGTTTCGCGTTGCCATTTATTTACCAGGGCTGGCGGCCCACACGCAGTTGATAGCAGCGGCCTATCGATAACACGGCCCCTTCGCGCCCTCGAAATGGTTGGTAATCGAATTATCTTAATTAAATTATCTTTTAAGTACTCAGCTGACTTAAATGTTTTGTTTAATTTTTATTTATTGCTAGATCCAGCATTGAAATTTCGAAACTAGCAAAGTAACTAATATCCTTCTCGTTTAATAAAACCAGCAAACCATTTTCTGATATCATTTTGTTATACATACATATTTTATATACGAATTCATTACATTATTATTCATATGATTTATTTTCTAGAATTCTACATAAAAATTCGATTTTTAAAAAAATTTAATAAAATCATCTCAGGAAATTAAAATGTTTCTTTTCACCGTTACCCATGTTTGTTTGCATGCGGATAATAATAACAATAAAAGCCCACTTTAAACAAAAACAATGTATGAATTCCAGGTGTTAATTGTAGCAAAATAAAAAAACCGAAAAGAGAAAAATGCACGAACATATAGCATAACACCAATGGATTCCACCAGTACTGACAGATCCATCATATATAGATAAAAAATAGTTGGTTTCTATTTAGTTTATTAGCTAAGGCCAAGTAGTTTATAGCCATGTGTAAATATTAACTGGTGTACTCCATGGGCACGCACTCCTCAGCCGCCACCTCGTGCGAATGTGTTCCACCATCGTCCTCCATTAGGTGGTGCAGGCTCTCGTTGGGATAGCTGGGAAAACAAGGTTATTGCACTAGTATTCCAACACAGGAAATGCAAAAGTAGTTACCACTTGGAGGGGCTCTCATCGCTGAGCATTGTGGTGGGCACTGTGGCCTCGGGACTCATGAGCTCAAGGGGTGTGGGTCGTCGCTCCTGCAGCTGGCGGGCGATCTCCGCTTGACTCAGGCCAGGCGACACCTCCTTGGGAGCAGTCTGTAGCTGCAGTTGCTGCTGCGAAGGGGAAACTGTGGCGGTGAGTTGTCTTTTGGCAGCAGCTGCTTGTATTCCATGGTTCGTGGGCATCATTCCTGTGAGGATTTTGCGTCTTCGTCCCCTTGTGGCGCCCACAGTGGGAATGTGCGGGGGCACACCCGGAGTGCCAGGTGTCCCCTTGTCCTTGTGCTTCCGGCGACTGGCGTCCTTGGATGCCTGCGATCCTCCGGCTCCTGACGTTGATGCTGGCTCCGAATCGGAGCTGTCGGTGGCATCGCTGTCACTGGAGTCCTTCGCCGGCTTCTCGTACAGCAGCAGGCGGTCCAGCAGGAAGGTGCGATCCCGGGAAACCTTTAGCAGACGACGCTGGTTGGTGTGCAACAGATCTTGGAAATACTCGTTCTCCTGTAAACACAAAAAGCTGTGACTTGCCATTGGCCAAGTTCAACTTTAGATATTTACGTAGATGAGGAACTTAAGCTTCTTCTTGAGGTTTTTGTAGCGCTCCTTGAAGTCTGTTTCATTGGCTCCCATTCCCGCGGAGACGGAGGATGCGCTAGCGGGCGCTGCACCGCGGGAAAGTGCCGGAACACGATCTCTGGCAGGTGGCTGAGGTTCATCGTCACTCGGCGGCTCGTCCTTGATGCCGCCCTCCTCCTGGTTGGCCAGGGATCTGCAATACCAGCCGTCTAGCATTGTCTTTTCATTTACTTTTGCGTTTTGTTAATTTTTCTTCTGCAGACAGGTCAGGGTTGCCAGATCAGTTTCTCTTTCGTATACATGCAGTGCAGTGATGTGAGTTTAGCGATAATTGATACACATAGTTATCGAATGATTATTTTCCGTTAATTTTTCTAGTTTAAAAATGAAATTGCTTTTGTAAATTGAAATATTTGGAATGTGCCAGTAATTTAAAGTCGTTATTATTACTGCTTAAATTAAATTTAAATTAACTTTTTAATAGTCTTTATATATATTTACAAAGTTACTGTAATTTTTGATCGTTTTAACTACAATTTAAAATTAGAATATTTCCGTTAAAAGTAAAGAATTAAAATATTACATATTTTTCCGTATTCCGTGCCGATAGTACAGTGTATAGTACCCATATTCGACGGACCCATCTGACGACGCCATAACTTTTGACAGAGATGCCAGATCGCTTAATGACATACCGCGTTTGAAGCGTCAGTCCAAGCAGATTTTTACCATGGAACAATACACGCCACGCGAGCGCTCTGAAATAGTTGAAATTTACATTCAACAGAACAAGTCAATTGTGAAAACTCAACGTGCTTTTAAAAAATTAAAAAATGTGAAAAGTGCGCCTTCTAAGAACACCATTAAGCGTTTATACGAAAAATTTACGACTGGTGAGGCTCTTTCTAATCCGAAGAGGCCAAATAAAAGTCGACCAAGGCGATCGGACGAGAATATCGCTGCCGTACGAGCCAGTGTTGATATGTCCCCAAGAACATCCCAAAAACGCCGTTCTCAGCAGTTGGGCATTTCTCGGTCCACTTTACAACGGATTATTCGCGTTGATTTGAAGTCAAAGGTTTACGTTAACAAGCCAAGGACCCTAGAAGAGCTCAAGGACAACATTCGTGAAGAAATAGCCGCTATTCCGGCCGAAATGTCATCAACGCCAGAGGCGGCCATTTGAAAGATATCATATTCAAAAATTGATGTAAACAAATCTACTTGGAACAAATTAAATGATTAAGATTGCCAACCGCCAAATTTTTATTTTTTTCTTTGATTTTAAAAAAAAAAAAACATGGGTCCGTCGAATATGGGCAACCCTGTATAATTACTTTTAAATTAGCAATTTGGTTTTACAAACATGGACAAAAATTACGTCTGTTGTGGGTAAGATAAAGTTGATCTAAATAGAGAGCCAGTACTTAAGACTAATCTTTGTTATTTAGTTTATCTTTATTGACGGTTTCAATGGGTTATAACATTAAGTATTATAAGAGTAATGCATGTATTCTAAAGTGATCGGGGTTTATAGCTTGGAGTATTGGCTCTCATGCGCCACCATCGATGGGGTAATATCCTTCAGGGCTCGGCAGCCGATCAACGCCATGGTTATCTCAAAGTCCTTTCGCAGCACACTCAGCATCTCCTCCACACCCTTCTGGCCATTGTAGGCCAGTCCCCAGACAGCCGGACGACCTACGAAGACGGTCTTGGCTCCAAGAGCCAAAGCCTTGAAGATATCATTGCCCTGCATGATGCCACCGTCCAGCATGACCACCAGATCCTCGCCCACGGCTTTCACAATCTCCGGCAGAGCCTCGATCGAGGCAGGAACAGTGTCGATCTGTCGTGCTCCGTGGTTGGAAACAATGAGTCCGGCGCATCCGAACTCCCTGGCTAACACAGCATCTTCGGCAGTCAGAACTCCCTTCACCACAATGGGCAGGTGAGTAATGCTCTTCAGCCAGGCAATATCTTTCCAGGTGATGGTGGCATCAAACTGGCTGGACACATACTCGTTGATGCCCGAGGCGCCCATGGTGGCATTGCCCACTCCAGTGGCCTTAACGCCCTGGAAATTGGCCAGAGATAGGTGCGATGGCAGGCTGAAGTTGTTGCGCACATCGGCACGTCGGTGCCCAAAGATGGGGGCATCGATGGTAAGGACGAGTGCCTTGAAGTTGGCCTTCTCGGCACGGCGCACCAGTTTTTCTGTTATGGTACTAAAATCAGAATGGTAAAGCTGAGTAAGAGTGACGAAGGAAGGAGAAACCTCTCACCGATCCTTGTAGATGTACAGCTGGAACCACTTGATCGTGTCCGGGGCACCGGCTGCCAAATCCTCCAGCGAAGTGGTGGACAACGTGCTGAGAATAAAGATGGAGCCAGCTTTTCCCGCCGCCCTGGCATTGCCCACTTCTCCATCAGGATGGGCCATTTTTTGCATGGCAGTGGGGGCTATGCCCAACGGCCACTTCATGTGCTCCCCGAAGATCTGGCAGCCAATGTCCAGGCGGGAGACATCCCTCAGGCAACGCGGACGGAGACGCAGCCGGCGAAAAGCCTCGCGATTCAGTTTCAAGGTGAACTGCTCACCGGCTCCGCTGCGGTAGTAGTCCAGGGCATTCTTCTCCAGCTGGCCGGCGGCCTTTTTCTCAAAGTCCTCCACGCAAACCAAAGCCATGTCTGTTACGTAACAGGGAAATGGAAATGTACACTGTTTGGGAACACCTCTCGCAGCACCTCCCAGACTCGAACTAAACCCACTGAGATTAGGGGACAGCATCAATAGCTTTTGCCTAGCGGGGTCCATAAACCGCGGAATAGCGATAAGCAGGCAGTTTGCCGAGTGCAACTGATAAGGGACCCCTCCCCGATCCGAGATTATAGAGCACAGATCATTGCAGAGATCGTCCCAACACGCAGTTTCCCTACTCTACACGGGGGGTGCTGTCCAAGATGATAAGAGGTCACTTTCGCTTTGAGAGGGCCAAGGTTAAATGGTATCACGCACCTTTTGCAGTCTTCCAAGCTTTTAATGACCAATTCTTGCACACTGGTATCAGATTTCTATGACTACTCCACCTTCGAATGCCTTAAACGAGTGCAAGCTCGCTGGAAATTGTGAACTATCAACGGGTTTATTGAAAAACAACGATAAAATGTCTGTAAAAAACGCACTCTTAGAACTAGTTAACCATCTTCGGGAACCTTAAACACTATACGTCGTCTTTAGGTTGTTGAAATACTCCAGATCCTTTGCGCTGATCGAGGGTACGAACTTGTTGAATGATTTGGTGAAGTCCTCCGCCTCCACAATCACGTTCTCCGGCACTAGTTCCCTTTCTGTGATGGCTCCACTCAAGTGCTTGTCTATGGTGCGTCTCACGGCCGAGAGCCAGGCATTCGAGCAGATGGAGTACAGATCTGCTCCACTCATTTCACTCTTCAAACGCTCTGCAATCTGGTCCATGTCCACACCGGCTTCTAAGGCGAATCGCTGGGTCTGAGCACGTAAAACGGCTGCCTTGTCATCGGCCGTTGAGCAGGGTCCCACGTAGAAAA